TTAGCTATTATACAAGGAAAAAGAAGAATTGCTTACAGATGCTAACTGATTTTTGCTATCGAATCTATAAAAATTAGTAACAACAGCTAATTTTTTTTGCTATGATAACAAAAAAGTTTACTATGATAAACAATATCAGGTTTAATTTTTAAAAATTTATTGTCATATAGCAAATTTGTTCGCTGTCCCTATATTAGCTAACGTAATTTAATGTGACAGCAAACAAATTTCCTGTGGGATCAAAAAAGTTTACTGTGACAATAAATTTTTAAAAATTATAACTGATATTGTGTATCACAACTGTTTTGTTGTCATAGCAAAAAATTTAGCTGTGGTTACTAATTTTAATATATCCGATAGCAAACATCAGTTAGCATCTGTAAGCAATTCTTTTTTTCCTTGTATAATAGCTAACGTAATTTGCTGTGACAGCAAATAGTTCGCTGCCACAGGAAATTTTTTCTATACATGCGTAAGTACAGCGAACAAATTTGCTGTGGGGTCAATAAAATTTTGTTGTGATAGTAAATTTTTAAAAATTAAGACTAAACATTGTTTATCATAGCAAAATTTTTTCGTTGTCATAGCAAATATACACTGAACAATAAGGAATTGCTGAAAAATGATAAATGATGTTTGCTATCGGATCTATTAAAATTAGTAACTACAGCTAAATTTTTTGCTATGACAACGAAAAAGTTATGATAAACAATATCAGTTACAACTTTTAAAAATTTACTGTCACAGTAAACTTTTTTGATTCCACGGAAAATTTGTTTGCTGTCCCTAAACGCATAGAAAAATTTTACTGTGGCAGCAAATTATTTGCTGTCATAATAAAATTACGTTAGCTAATATAGGGACAGCGAACAAATTTGCTATGACAATAAATTTTTAAAATTTTTAACTGATATTGTTTATCATAGCAAACTTTTTTGTTGTCATAGCAAAAAATTTAGCTACAGTTACTAATTTTGATAGATTCGTTAGCAAAAACATCAGTTAGCATGTGTAAGCAATTCCTTTTTTTCCCTATATTAGCTAACATAATTTGCTGTGACAGCAAATAGTTCGCTGCCGCAGCAAATTTTTTCTATGCTTGTACTTTAAATACATCAGTATGTGTATGGTAAATTTTACCAAACTAATTTTAGATTAAACTTTAATTTTACCAATTCGTTTTCTTCTTGATTCGATAATTAAAAATTTCACTATTTCAAAGATAAAATCATTGAATTGTTCATGTGAAAATAGTGTTAATAAAAAGAAAAAAACATATTAATAGTGAAATAAACACATATTGTTTAGACAGACAAGAGATCAAAAGCCGCGAGGCTCTTCAATATATATATATTTTGAAGTACAATTGAGAGAAGATTGCACACGTGATTGTGGAAAAGAAATGCAGAGCCGCGCGGAAATATCGATTTCGCGGTGAAAGGACATTTATGGAATGGCGCTTTTTCCTAAAGCAAAAGTGTGAATCGTTAGAATGTGTGTATGTGTATATGTATATTCTTACATATATATATGTATATAAGTCCTTGGTAAATAAAACGGTAACCGAAGAGTAATCCATGCGAATGTATGCGTGTGTGGGAAGTACACACACACATATATATATATAGGAATGACACAAGGGAGGCAAGAGGAGCAAAAGGATCGTTCATGGGCACCCACCTGCAGAGATAGAGTCATTCACTCGGCCTCACTATACTGGAAACGTATATATATCGCAATGACTGCACGAATAAATTATCCATATTCATGCCAGGCAGCCGGATTACACAGTAACTTCGCTCGAGATTAAATGCACTCACGATCCCTTTTCACTCCCACGTGTATATATATATATATATATATACATTCTACACATGCATAATTGCATACTTTTTTTTTTTATTCAACAACTCTCAATGTTGTAATGTTATGGTGAAGTTTGTTGTACATTTTAATGAGTGTGTACTACACATTTTTATTTCACTCTTTTCTCATAATTTTTTATTTTTATTTAAGTCTTATAATATAGATTTTTGTAAATATTTTTCTCACCTTTTTTTTTTTTAATATTTTACTCGCACTTTCTTTTATAATGGTAGTAACATTTAATATTATACTTTAGCTGCGGTATTTTTTTTTTATTACTTTTTTTTTACTCACATTTAATATTAGGATTTTATTTGGAATATTCAAATATTACGGTTTTTAAAAGTAGAAGGTTGAAATGTCTATATTATATAAAAAATTTATTTGATTTAAATAATCGGTTATACTTGACTATTATCAAATAAATATTTAAACCAAATAATTTTTAATTTAAATTAAATAAATTGTATTTAAAATAATTTCTTTATTTGCAGCAAATAGGATTTTAATTTAATTATAAATTTGTTTCAGAGTCAAATAAATATATTTATTTGATTTGAATAAATTTTATTGGTTTCAAATAAATTTTTATATGAGTTAAATAAACAGATTTTTATTTATGAAAAAATAAATTAGGCTAGTAGGCTCTGAGGCAAATATAAGTTTATTTAACTCAAATATATATTATATTTGATAAATGCAAACATTTCTCTGGTTGCATCCTCTAAAAGTCCAGTAAAATTTATTAGCTTCCAAATTTAATTTAGTAAATTTTACTGCTTTGAAAAGATTTTTTAGTAAAATTTACTATCCTTTAAATTTAGTTCAGTAAAATTTAATAGCTTCCAAATTTAATTTAGTAAAATTTACTATCCTATACTAAATTTTACTGCTTTGAAAAGATTTTTTGGTAAAATTTACTATCCTTTAAATTTAGTTCAGTAAAATATAATAGTTTCCAAATTTAATTTAGTAAAATTTACTATCCTTTAAATTTTACTGCTTTGAAAAGATTTTTTGGTAAAATTTACTATCCTTTAAATTTAGTTCAGTAAAATTTAATAGCTTCCAAATTTAATTTAGTAAAGTTTACCATCCTCTAAATTTAGTCTAGTAAAATTTACAATTCTTCAAATTTAATTTAGTAAAGTTTATCATTCTCCAAAAATTTATTAAGTATAAATAATTTATTTAGTATAAATTTTACCTTAGTTTTTACTTCAATAAGACTTTAAATTCAGGACTAATAATTGTTTACTAAAGTTCACCATCCTCAAAAGTTAGTTCAGTAAAATTAACTATAATTTTGCAAATTTAGTTTAGTAAAATTTACCACACTGAGAAAAATATGCTATTGAATCCAACAGCATTTCTGCTTTCTTTTATTTTTCTTAACTTTTTTCGACTTGAGAAAATCATTTCAGAAAAAAAGGGTCAAGAAAATCTCTCAAAATATATATAGGCAATAATAATCTACTCATAAAGGAAGATTGAATTATATGAATTTTTAATATCAATTCATATATATATACATACATAAATATATTTTTGAGTAGAAAAAAAAATGCTAGTCATCTCTTTTGAAAACCGTTATTTTTATGTAGATAAGGTTAAGTTTTTTTTTGAAGTATGTGTGTCTTGTTCATTTATTGATAACAATTTCCGTAGTTTGACAAAGAAACACACATTACGAGTTGCTTCATTCTCAGGGGGACAACAATAGTCGTTTGAATATAGCTATATATGTTATACATATATATATAGTATTAGTTTGAAGCCATATACTCCGCACTTAATATTCATTCTACGTTTCATCTATACAGGAATTTGTGTTTTCACAGGGCTTGGCTCGTATATTTAGTGCATCGCATGTTGTGTATATGATTGTATTGTGTCACAGGCATATTAACGCGTTTAACTTGTAACATATTAAATCAAAGAAATATGCAAATCTCGTGCTAAAATCACTCATCCCTAAATTGAAAATTATTTTATTCAATTTTTCCCCTTAAATTTTCATTTATTCAAAGTTGTCTCAAATAAAATTCAAAGAATTTATTTTAAATGTTATACTTTTATAAGATATGTATATTTAAATTAAATGCACCTTGTGACTTAAATTGAATATTCTAATTTAAATGCAACCCTAAAAGCTATATATAAAGAAATTCATATTATAGGTCACGAAGTTCTTTTCAGAATTCTTTTTTTTTTTAAACTAAAATATATAGTAAGGTTTCAGATAATTTAAGTTGCCCTAATATTCTCTACTTTCTTTTTTGTATTGGGACAATTTCCTGGTTAAGAAAATGTTCTCCATCTGGAGCACAATTTTCTTATCAAGATTCTGGCAATGCACCGCGAGGGAATTAAGGTCAACATTACGTTTATGATAACTGCGATAAAAGATAAAATGCTGCGTCAGAAATAATAGCAATTATATATATATATATGTATTCAGTCTTATTATGCATTGAGTATGAGAAAGGTGTGCAGCAGTCGAAAAAAAAAAAAAATTAAAATTTTCGATGCATTTTATTTCATATTCAATGAACTCTTATATGTACGTATTCTTTTGTTGGCTTTCAATATGAAGACGTTGGTTGACATCAAATACATACCTAAAATTCAAAGGAGTACGTGGTCTTTATAAATTCAACGTGACATTAATTTATTCATTGAATTTATTCTTAATTTTCTTTTTTATTGAATTCATTCTCTCTTTTTATTTATTTAATTTATTCTTCATTTCTATTAAATTTAATCTTTATTTGAATTGTTCTTAATTTTTAAATGCGCACGACTTTCATTATATCAATGAGGAAAAATTGATAATCTTAATTTATTGGATTAATTTTTTCCAAAAGTCATTGTTTTTACACTAGAAATCTGAATTTTGATTTAAATAGTATATAAATATTTTTTTAGTGTCTAAAGGAGGTTCAACTAATTAACATAACCTAAAAAACTAAATAGTAGCGTTTAACAGAACTAAAAATATATTTAAAATTTAATTTTATTTCTTAAAAAACAACTTTAAAAAGTTAAAAAATTGTCAAATTTTGAATTTAAAATTTCTTTTTTTGGGTGTAAAAAAAGAAAAGTTTCACAAGGATTGTATTTTTTCATTTCAGAAGCCGAAGAATGTGTCGAAGGACAAGTCGAAGATTTGAAAAATGCTCAAGAAACGTCGAGACATCTCGAAGATGGAAGTTTACAGCCGACCATAGATCAAGCCCAACAAACAACTCCAGGTACTATAAATTTACCTTTATTATTTGTTTTGCTATTGATTCTATTCAGAATTTTTTTTTTTTTTTTTGACTTTCATGACACTTTCCCCGCTTGAAGTTCTCTACTTTCATTTCTATTTCAATTTATGGTTTCTCAAAATTTCAACATTTTTCCAAATCCTTAAAAAACCATTTATTTAAAATTGAATAAAGTCAATAGTTCATAAAATCATTAAAACAATTTCTATACATATGACTCCTTGGAACATGTCCAAAATTCTGATCCCTAATTATGAATTGTCAGAAAGAGATTGGCATGAGTATATAGAATGTTTCAAAAAGCAGGTGAACAGGTCGTTATATCGAAAGTTGACTGTATAATGAGGATTTTGCTATAGGAGAAGTTTCAAACAACTGTCGGCCTAGTTTGTCAAGGACAAAATAATGAACTGCATTCAAATATGATGCCTTTATTAATAGCTAGAAAACCGCCCCCCGCAAGAGAGTAAAATGAGCCAGAGTTCTTGTATTCTTGTCTCTTCTATATTCCCATTGTGTGTGTACAAAACTATCTTCGATTTTTGAAACTATTGGAAAAAATATTCAACAAGTATCTCCATAATATTCTTTTGTTTTTGTTTGTTATATTTTTCAAGGAGAGAGAGTTAAAAATCAGTTTTAATGGAACAAAATTTACTATTTTATATTTTTTAATGATCATATTATTATTTTCTTTTTTATTTGAAGATAAAAAGAAGTTGGATTTTATAATAGCTCTTTAAAAAATGTACACGTAGTTTATTGTTCATTTAAATGATAAACAAGGTATAATATCGTTTTACATTTTCTTTCTGGGTGTTTTTAAATTGAGTTGATTTACACCTGCGAGACTCTCTAAAACGTGATATTTAGTTCATCCGGGTCCATTGAGAATATATGTATATAATGCAAAACCTCTTCAAAAGACCCATTTGGGTATTAAAAAGGAACTTGAAGAATTATTGATGATAAAGGCCCACATTTCAAGAACACTTGAAAAAATTTCCTCAGGCTCATTCAATTTTAGTATACACTTTAACTTTATTCACTATTACTAAACTATGTATATTCACGTCACTCAAGTTCATAACGATCAACGATTTAGAAGAAAAAAAATCTAATTTATTATAACTTTTTTTCTTTTCTAAAAAATTTATGAATTTTTGAAAATAAATTTTTTTTTATCTATTTTTGCTTTCTCTAAATTTTTGTAAAAAAAAAATATATCCAAGATTAATGTACAGTAAAACCCACGTATATCGGATTTCAAGAGACCGAAAAAGAACCGATGTAAGTTTTTTTTTTGAAAAATAGAAATATAAAAATTACCGACATAGAAATCTACCTTACCATCAGTCGGTAAGGCAGATTTCTATGTCGGTATTTTTATATTTTCATTTTCTCAAAAATCTGTTTTACCATCAGTCGGTAAGGTAGATTTCTATGTCGGTAATTTTTATAGTTTCATTTTCCAAAAATCTGATTTACCATCAGTCGGTAAGCTAGATTTCTATGTCGGTAATTTTCAAAAAATTTACCATCTTGTTAATTTTTTAACCATCTACATAATTCTTTTAATTATAAAGAGTGTTATTTTTTTCTAAAGACTTTATTGTATTATAAAACTGTTATCAGAGAGCAATTCTTGAAGGTATTATGTATTTTTAGAGTAGATAGGATTGTTTAATATTAGAGAAATTTTGCTTAATCTTCTATTTTTTTACGTATATATAATATAATATAGAATTTTTATTCTATTGATATAGTTTTTCGAGATTCGTAAAGCTTTATTGGTGAAAAGAACGAATTTTTGTTAAGAGAGTTGAACGATAAGCTTTTTAACAAGAAACTTGTTCAGAAAAAAAATATATATAGTACACACAATATGTCTCTCCAACATCTTGGGAGCTTTTATTCGTCCTGGGAAGCATTTACGAGTATACTCTTTTAACCAAGTGGAAAATAAAAGGTCACATTAAACGCTATATAACTTTAACCGATTAAAGTAAAATTATCTCTTTATTTCATTTTTTAAGTTCTCTCTTTTATTTTTCATTAGTTTCTTAATTTTCCCAAATTTTATATTTTATTTCAATAGTTATTTTTATTTTTTTTTTAAATAAATTTTTTTAATATATATTTTCCTTGAATGAATCATTTTTTAGAAGAGAATTTTAAAACAAAGAATTTTGTAACAATCATTAATAATTTAATTCATTTGTTGAAGAATTAAGCTAGACGAGAACTCATTTAGGGAGACATTAGTCTATAGTAAAAGAGAAGCAAAAGCGAGATGATGATGCTTTTGAAAGTGTATATATACCAAGGTATATAGAAATATACGTCTACCATAAAATGAACAAAAGATTTTCTTATAAACTCTCCACTTTTTCCACAACTTTGAAAGCATTTTCTTTTATGTAATATCTTGAAAAACGTCAATTCTGTTTCTCCGCACCTTATTTTGTGCAATTTTTTTTTTTTTTTTTTTTTTGTCTTTTCAATGCATGTATGAAACATATGTGAGAAACCATATATTGTTAATGAAAAGCTTTTGTTATAGATACATATATGGGGGCTCTTCATAAATTACATAATATTCTTATTTTAATGGTCGAGGAGTTTTCATTTCATGCGAAATCAATATATAGGTGTGTGAATTGATATGTGAAAGAAGATAAAAATTTTGTTGACACGTTCGGGTTATTTTTTTGTATTTTAAATTTTTGTGTCACCAAATCGAATAATTTAATTCTCTTAAAATCAGATTCAGGTAAATTTAAATCATATTTTAATAAAAAATATGAACTTATTAAAAGTAAAAAAAAATTTTCAAAAAGATTGCTTTTTTAGGGGTTGTAAAATCTGTTTTCGTAGTGAGGTTGCCCCAAAGGGTAGATAGAGACTGTGAAACGAATTTTTGAATAATGAATGTTAAAGGCTAAGAACCTTTTGAATTCGGAAAAAAAAACGTCTCGTTTAATGTTGAAGTGTCATTGATTCCACTACATCCCCTTTAAATTCTCGTCGTTCACCAACTTGAATCCCCACTCTCTTTCTCTCTTTCTCCCTTTAAATATATATGACTACGCTGAATCGTGTTTCATGAGGACACTTCTGATTCCTTTTTTTTTTCCTTTTTTGTTCATAGATCTTCATCAGCGTTATCTTGTAGAAACGATAACGATGACGACGGTGACGGAGCGTCGAATTGTCCGCGAGATCAGCGAAGAAGAAACACAACCTTTAGACGAAATTGATTCAACTAATGAGAAAGATTCATTGAATGGCTCAAAACTCGAATTCACTATTTGTCCGCCGCCAGACGCTAAAGATATTATTAAAACTAACGACGATGTAAATAAATCGCCAGAAAATATGACAAAAATCGATAAACGTGCCTCGAAGGAAATTTCTGATGGATCCGATCTTTCTCTGACCTTTAAGTTGGGCACATCACTCGCAACCAACAGCCTCAAGCCAAATTCCGCTGTACGACAACTTTTCCCCGACCCTAGATTCATATCTCCACCTCCAGCGCCAACAAAGAACATATCTCTTTCGGACGTTGACGATGAAGATGAGCATTCAGAGGCTCAGAAATTCCTCATCACCACTGAAACCCTACGTCTTTTTGATGCTGTCAAAAGGACCAAAATTGCCGGCAACCGGAGTGATTCATCTGAAAGTGAATCTTCCAGTATCAAGAGAACAATTGAGAGAAATGCCCTAAGAAGAAGTCTTATTTCAAAATACGAGACTAGTGGCGGTTCGAAGAAGAAAAATTTACGAAGTAAAGATTTAACTCTCGAGGAGAGAATACGACAATTGACATGCGTTGATCAGGATGATGACACCGGTGATAGTAATTCATCAGAAAGTGGAAGAACCGTTGAGGGTTGCGATCAAAATAATGAATTACCAGCAAGAACATCGCCATCAGGTGAAGAGAGACCGAAAAATGATCGCGTACCACGTACCATTATTCAAGAGCAAGAAATAAATCTTCCTCCGCCTTATCAGAATGCCAATCATCATCATCATCATCACCATCAGCAGTCGACTTATAAAAAAATCACCGATCTCTTTGGCCAAAAGAAAAATATTCAAATGAATCTTCCCGATATTGGTCTTGGTAATAGAATGACAATTGGTAAAGAATACATTTCAAAATCAGCAGTTTCAAAAATGAATTCTGATGCAAGGAAACAATTTCTAGCTAGTCTTGCGCCTTTATCTTGTGTCACATCGACCGGAGAGGGAAAAGATGATTACTATCGAATTGCATCAAAAATCACTGGAAGCAATAGGGACTCAGTGGGTTATAATTCTGATTCATCATACAGTCTTGAGGATATTGAAGCCGCATTGAGAGGTGAGGAAAGAAATTATCGAAATGCAGGTCCACCTGATGTCACAAGAGGAACACCCACAAGCATTGGACCCGATTCAGGTGATGCGAGTGATGAATTAATGGCTTTTGTTGAACAAGACAAGTCAAGAACCGAGAGGATCAAGAGACGTTACAATGATAATGAAGGAACATCAGTCGATGGCGATGTTGTCAAGGAGAATGGAAAGGACAAAAAGAATACCGTCGACGATGACGAGGACGACGAGCTCAATGATTATGGTTTTAACAGAAGACCCGCAGTTCGTGGAATTAAACCACAATTTGGAACAACGGAGGAGATTGTCCAACAATTGAGATCGCGAAGCGTTGCCGCAACATCACTTCCAGATCGAACATCCCTACCTCCACATTGGACGTTCTATGACAACACCAATGACAATCCCGAGAAGCAAGAATCATTCGTTGACGATTCAGAAACATTTAAGCAAGCAACCTTCAACAACGAGAATCCCGGAAAGCATACAATCAACAGGATAAACAATATGCAAAGACAGATTGATGACATTTATCAAACAATTGCTGACACATCGGTAAATATTCCATTTAATTTTCCTAAAATATTAAATATTAAATCTCTCTCTTTTATTTTCCAGGTAAATGCTCAAGGTTTAGATCGCTCATACGTCGATACAACTCTACCAAGAACATTAGTTCACGTTGCAGTCGCCGACGGTAGTCATCGTTACGTGGACCAAAAAAATGGACTCCACTTTCAAGATCAAATGTCAGGCCATAGAATTCGTGTCGCCGGTGCTGCTGATTTAGTTCCAACATCCGGCTACAATAGTCTTCCCAGTAAATCACGACAGCATCCAGTAGGTTACACTAATTATTCATGTAGTACTGTGCCAACTTCCAATCCAAAATGTTATCGTACAATGTACCTCGTTCCCTACAATGGAATCACAGATCCAGCTTATCAAAATCTCCAACGAATTCTACCGGCCCAATCAACGCCAACAAATTACGCGAATCACATCGATCGCTATCCATATCCAAGAAATCGTGTCGATCCCCAACCACGTTATTACGTACGGCCTAATAATCCACCGCCAACTAATCCACAATTACATCTTCATTTACATCAATCCGATGAAATACACGTGGCAAACGTCCCACCACCAGTTGGACTAAATCACACCATACAAACAATACACCATCAACATCATCAGGTTGCATCCTATAGTGGCGCTCAATCAGTACCATCGTACACTGTTATTGCACCACCAAGACCCCAAGCGCCATATACACATCAAATTCATTTATCACGAAGTGCAAGTGACGTTCAAACACAAACTGTCTCTCTACCCCCTTCAGTGGTATCGGCATCAATTGGATCAACATTAACGACATTCACTGGTAGCACTCAAATACTTGGTACAACAATGACGTCATCAGCAACAATTTTAGCCTCACCCACAAAACTTCAACATCAAAGGAATAATCCTTGCAATGTTGCTGAACGCGGAGTCCCCGAAGGTGCAGCCAGTGCACCAGCTCAGGATTTCAATCAGACGAGTTCCACTAATTCGAGCCATACTGTTACGAACTCGTTTATAGGTCATCCCAATAACGTGCCTCCACCCAACACACAGAACTCTGTATACTACGCGATGAACGTGTAAACGGATTACTTGAAAGGGATTCACCTTTACTGGCTAATTAAGTCGAAAAGGTAGTGGAATTACCGAGTTTTACTTGTAAACTTGCAGTTTTGGAAGAGATGGGGTTTTAAGTAAAACGAAGCATTGTGGTTACATCTGTTAATTTTGGGATGTACCCACATTTTGTAGTTTTGCTGTGGCCGCGGCCAATAAGCAAATGGGGTCATGTACGAGTTACATGTGCGTGCTATTCGTTCCCACGAGTATTCGAGTTTACCACTAAGTAAAGTGGATTATAAGTTTGTGGCCGCGTTTGGCTTATTTTTTTTTTTTCCATATACAAATGCACCCAAAGTGGGCTTTTTTTAGAAAGAAAGAAAAATTGTGACTCAGCTGCAAAAACGCTCAGGACTTGGAAAGAAAATAAAATTGTACCAAAGGTATTTTCTTCTGGCTTTTAAAATTCCGTATCTTTTTTTCGTATATCATCGATTGGTTATTAAAAAAACTCATTATTATTAAAAAAAGGTTTATTCAGTAAAATGTATTTTTTAAAGAAAGAAATCTAATTTTTCCAAAACTTATTTTACTTATTGAAATATTTTCTAAAATCGAGCTGCCGGATCAAAGAAGGGTCTTTTTTTTGATCCGGCAGCTTAATCGTAATGTTTTGTTAAAAATTAATTTGTTCAAAAAAATTATAGAAAAATAGAAATTGTTATAATTCAATGAGCCAAAAGTTTTGAACGTTCAAATGAACAAAAAATTTTTTCCAACTTCTTTAAGTACGAATTTTATTACAAAATATTGTTTTAAATATCTAAAAAGAAATTATTAATTTAATAATTGTTTAATTCACTGTTTTACTTTACATTGACATAATAATTTTTAATAATTTATAGATTGAAAAAAATATTTCGTTCATTTGAACGTTCAGAACTTTTGGCTTATATAATTTAAAAATATTTATCAAACATTGAGAAAAAAAAGTAGAAAATATTTCAATGAGTAAAATAAATTTTTAATATATAGTTTGTTTTACAATAAATTCTAAAAAATTTCAAACTTCTAAAGCTTAAACTTCTAATTTTATTTTTTTTATAAGAAATAAAAGAAAATATTTTATTTCATAAACCTTTAAATAATAATTAGTCCCAACGGAAATATTATTATACCATTGATTATAGATTTTTTTTTTAAAGTAATCGAGTTGAGGTGATTATTTTTATGACCCAGTAGATAAGTCTAAAGTTGTTAGAATTTTCGAATTCAAATATCATTTCAAAGATATTGATTCAATCTAAATTTAATTGGACTTTCATTAGAATTTTATTGAAATATTTTAACAAAATCCAGATTCCAATCAAATATTAAAAATTTTATTTTTCAAATTATATTTTATTTTTTATACTAAATTAAAAACAAAATTAAATATTAATATCAATATTATTTTTTGAATTTACACTCTTTGCATTTAAAAAAATTCTTGATTTTTTTTTTGAGACGTTAGTGTAAAAGCATCTTTTGTTAATGTTTAGTCAAAGGGGTGAATTTTTTTTTTATATTCAAGAAATTCTTAATAATTAAACGGTACTACCTGGTTTCGCAAATTTTCTCTCTAATTACCGCTTTAAATATATATATATATATATATATATATGTACCTTATGGATACTTGAACTCCCCTTTATATATACGCGTACATATTGAATGTTACCTCGTTATAATTGGAGAGAGAAAGAGAGAGAAAGATGATATTAATTCAAGACGTGCTGAAAATGCAATCTAAATTTTAAATTTAAATATTGCTTTTAGTCCGATATTGTATTGATTTTCGGGTTTTATGTCGTTATTATTCTACAACCAAAGTCAGCATTCGATCTCTCTGGGGATCCAACTTTCTATTAAGAAGACATCCAAGTCAACTACATAAATATTTATTTCTGCGTCAACTCAAAAAAAAAGGAATCACTGATTATAAAGTTCTCATGTTTTCTCCATTTTAAGTCTTGAAAATTAAAAAAAAAAAATTGACTGAAATAATAATAACAGTATTCAAATAATTGCAATTCTTCAATAAATTTTAAATAACAAATATTTGTAATATACAATAAAAAAAAATTGCAATGGAAAATTTTTATAATTGAAGCAATTTTACAAAATAAAAGAGCCAGAATGAAGTCTATTAGAATAAAGTTCAAGTTAAAAGAGCTGTAGTTTATATGTCATTAAATATTCGTTTCTATTCTTTCTTCCCAGAAATATCGTTCATTTTATTTACATCTGGGATTGAGTCTGAAACGCCAAAGATACGCCAGACAATAGTGCGATAGTATTAAAAATTTTATAGAAAAAAAAAAAAATGAAAAAAAAAATGAAAATCACTCGAATTCGAGATTTCTTCGTGAAATCAAAATGAGATTATCCGAAAAATAAGGAGAGAGACAACACGTATCGTGAAATGCCAAAGCGTAGATAATTTTTCGTAGATGTCTGCCAAACAAATCTGGTGAATTTTGTGCAAATTTTTAATTTTGCATCCAAAATTATATATATTGTAAATATTAAATTTTTTCAATTTCTTTTTATTTAAAAGAAAAAAAATTATTATTCTTTAAAGTGAATATCTCACTATAATTTTTATCATAACTATTATCAAGAAAAGTGGTTTTTTTTAAATTTTTGTTTAAATATTTAAGTTTTTGAAAAATTTATTCAAATTATTAAATTTTTATAAGTTATTAAATTATTAAATTTCATTAGAGAATTTTTTTGCTAAATGTTAATTGCTAAGAAGTTAAACAGATTTTTCAAAATATCTCTAAATTTTGTTATTGGGAATTTGTTTCTAATTAAAGAAAATTATATTGCTATGTGATGAAAATTGTAAACGGAATTAATTATAATTAAACTGTTTTAAAAATTTGTTTTACTATTAAAAAAAAAAAAAAAAATCATCGACAGTTTTGCACAAAAATATAATAATTGTATAGATATTATTTGCATATATGATTTTATTTAAATATTTTATATTGTTTTATCGACTAAAATCCTAAAAAAAAAAAAAAGGTGGAAAAATCGTCAGATTTGCAACATGTAATTAGGATCAAGTTACAATAGAAATAAAACAAAATAACAAAATTAAATAAATAACAATTTAATTAAATTTAAAAAAAAACGATTGTAACTTGATCCTTTTTTCAAAACTAACCATAGATTATTATAAATATTAAATGAAAAAAAAAAAAAATTCTTAAACAGTAAAAATTAATTTTAGTACATTTAGAATATTTATAATAATCAAGAAAAAAAAAATATTAAATATTAGTATTTGTAAAAGGTAGATTTTGAGCTATGGATGTTTTTGAAATTGACTCTTTAATCGTTGATGGATAATCGAATTCATGAAAAGAGAAAATTAATGAGAAAAAAAAAAAATGTGAATCGAATCATATTTAGAAATTAAAAAAAAAAAGAACACAGATTTTATATAATAAAACAAGGAATCTAATAACCAAAGTCCTAACTACCGATCATTGTCGTTGTGATATCTAAGGTTTTAATTTTTAATTTATCTATAATATATATATAATAACTGTAAGTTCAGACCGCATCGGCGGATGACAAGTATTACGCGGCGATTATTAAATTAACTGTAAATATGAACGATTGTTAAATTATTGTTTTTCACATTACAACAACTTTTGTTTCGTATTATATTATATTATTATTATTATTATTATTATTATTTTATAAATATATATAGTTTTTAGATCGATCTTATTTATATTTTATACGAATGTGTGTTGAACAATTGTATCTCTTAAAGCGGAAACTGTGGTAATTTTTTGAATCGACGCGAGAAATTTGCCATTTTCAAAAAGAAAAAAAAAATTTGTACCAAATTTCAACAAAGCAAGCAAAATTTTACTACCAATAAAAATAACTAAAAAAATTACAGAAACTTTAAAAAAGAAATTAGTAAAAAAAAAAGAGAAAATTGAAAATAGATAATTTCACGCTTTGTTTTTGTTTGTTACAAATATTTTTGAAAAGGTTCGCGTCGACTCTTGAGGGCATAGATACGTTTTAAAGTAGAATAAATATTGGAGATTTAAATTAAAAGAAAAGAAAAAAAAACAAAAAAAAAAAAAATAATTTTCAACTAAATGTGCATTTGTACAAATAATTATATTAATACCAGTCATTTACAACTTCATGCCACGTGTACGAAAGAGGGCTTTGAAACATTCAAGACTGCAATAATGAATTAAATATAAATAATTCTGGCCTATTAATTACTACCGATATACATTGAAATATCTATATATATATATATATTGATCTTAGAAAAATGCTGTTAAGTGTATGCATATAAGATTGTCTATATCTACATTGCGCGTGGGCTGCATGTTTTGTGATTGAAGAAATAAAAAAAAAAAAAATAGAAAATATTTCTATATATTGTCAAGTTCACTTCATTCAGTGATTTTTCTTCATTTAAATATTAATTTAAAAAAACACTTTTTTCTGATATTTATTCTATAATGAAGAAATTTCACTGAGAAATAAATGTCCGAATATTGGCCTAAGAAGTCTCGTTGTTATTAATTTGGGGCGCATAATTAAAAATAATCTTATGAATTTTAATTTTCCCTATATAATATTCGAATTTTTTTTTTTTTTAATTCGAATTTGAAAATGCAAACCAAAAGTTAAGTTGTTATATTGTTATTTATTGTTTATGATTTCATATCATCAAATATATATAGAATTGTACAATTTGAGCAAAAAAAAAATTTATGCACAAATTATATGAAAAAAAAAAGGAAAACAGAATGTATGTTTGTATCCTAAGAATTATTCACGTAACAAATTTTAGATAAAAAGGAAAGAGAAACGCGTACACAGTATTTGGGACCCTTCGTAGAAATTTTTTTAAATAAACTTAAATAGTCGATACGAATTTTCGCTAATAATTCAAGAATCGAGATTATTAAGGAAGATAAACGAAAAATTGTTTCATTTTCTCTTATCTAAGCGGTCAAGAAAGTCCAGATAGTATTAAACAATTAAGTATTAAATAACTAAGTACTCATTAAGTACTTAAATTTATTCAATAATTGAGTACTTAATTATCTACTCAATAATTCGGTATTTAATTAAATACTCAATAATTGAATAATTAATAATTTAGTACTAAAAATACATATATAATTAAGTACTAAACATTACTAAAAAAAAAAAAAAGATTTTAAAAAATTGAAATTGTTGTGAAAAATCAGTTTTGAAGTAAAAAAAAAAAAAAAAAGCACGATTTTAATAGAAAGATAGCTCCCAATAGGTACAAAAAAAAAAATTATTGTAATTAGCGATAAGTGTGATCGATAGTGAAAAACTAATCTTGTGTCTGAATAAGAAAAGAAAAGCTCGGTGGTAAAAGTAGAGCTTAGTATTTTATATAATGGAAGAATTAAACAAAAAAAAAAAAAAGGCAGTCGAGTGGCAGCTATATACTGTTATCTACGAGATTATGTATTCAAAAATATTACTCTCCTTTTTAATGGACTTTTTCCGAAAAAAAAGAATAATAATATACGTCATACTACTTCAAATTGACCATTTTTCAAATTCTCTAATTCCAAAATTTCTGAATTTTTATTCCATGTAGTACTTTTTTTAAGTTTCTCAGCGATACCAAAACGGGAGGAGAATCTATCTCAAAAATAAATAAAAAAAAACCATACATGCTTGTGCCAAAGGCGTTTATTATTATATAATATATATTTTGTTTTTTAATTTATACCTGCTAAGAAAATTTTGGTTTTGTATTTTTTTTTTTTAATGTTATTTGTGGAAGAAAACAGAAGTTTCTTTTTATCATAAAAAAAATTTATATTTTGTTTTTTCTGATTAGAAATAATTTTCATATGAGAAAAAAATTTGCATAAATCGAATTTTTCTTAATTTTCGTGATTAATATCATTATTTGTTTATCTCATTTAACTGAAGAATAAACAATAATAAATTAATTGTAATATTCAAATTCTATAAATCATCGAATGTCGTTTTTCTAATTTTTTGTCCGGGTTTTTTTTTATATATATATATATATATTATATAATTATTTGTTTTGAGTGTCAAGAAATATTTAATTAAAATGTCGCTTTTATGAATGGAATTAAAAAAAAAAAAAGATATAATGATTCGAAACATTGTAATGTAGTTGAAGCGTCTTTGTAATAATGTAGTAAATTATTTATTAATTGTAATGCTTTTCAACAGAGTATAGTAAATAAACGTTATTTATAGCGCTTAGAAAAAAAAAAAAAATGTTTTTTAAGTACTTTTACGACGAATGGCCAAATCTGAGATAGACTGTATATATATCCACTTGATTGTTAAACGAAATAGTAATTAGAGTGTAAATAAAAAGCTTTATCCACGTAAATCCATTATTTTTTTCTATCCTTCAAATTTCGTTTCTTTTATTTAAATATCATTAGAAATAAAAAAAAACTCAATTTCTGTAAAATTAATATTGTATAATAATAGTTATTAATTTAGGGAAACAAGGACGTAAGAGGTTTCAAAAAAAGATAAGACATTATGATTATTAAAAACGTATTAAGAAATTTAATATTAGCATAATCTTGTACTTGTAAAGTTTGAGCGTCAAGCGTAACGTAAATAAAGGAATTAAATAAAATTTGATTATCTCAAATAGATTAGATAATTTTTTTTTTATACAGTGCACTAGAATACATGTATTTATAAAAAAATACGAACGTTATATTCCGAAGTATTATTATTATTTCATCACTAAATCGCGTTGCGCTTTGCAAATATTTTATGGCCGTAAATGAGTAAAAACTAATTACAGTGGTGTGCGTATAAAAAAATGCTTTCAGTCGGTTTGCAAGAATGCGCAATTAATCTAGGAAAGAAATTTTTATAAAAATTCCCACCTAGGCCATTATTTTCTTTTTTTTTCCTTTTTTTAAATCTCAAAAATTGATAAAAAATTTTATGCTTAGTATTTTTTAATTATCTATTTATTAAAAAATTCACATTAGTAACTTATTATTTAAAAATGCCTTACTCGTTATTAAATATTTATGAGACTGTTTCTCCCATTGGTTACAGTATTGTAACGGGTTCCTTCCGCCGCTCAGAATAGTTAAATTTGTTCTTTCGCGTGAATTTATGATATTAATTTCACTTTTTGACGCCCTTTGTTTTTAATGAATTTTCGAAAAAAAAATTCGGCTTCGTCGTCGACATTAAGATGTGTGTATGTGTATACTCACAACGTTAAATTGTGATCAAATTTTTCTTTTTTCTTTTGCTTTTCTTGTTTTTGATGATGATATATATATTTATAAAAAAAAAAAACGCTCAACTCTCTACAACAAGACACATCGTCTTTTTCTACATGGTTCTGGCGGCTCTAATGCTGCTAAAATTGCTTCGTCAAATACATTTTTCAGTCCTTTCTGTAAATAATAAATTAAAAAATTGGTTTAAAAAAAAAAATTTTAATTTTAATTCATTTAACATTTAAATATTCACCTGAGTGAGTGCGCTGCATTCGACATATTTTACTGCTTTAAGTTCCTTGGCAAGTTTTTCTCCTTGCTCACCGGTAATTGGTTTTTGTTTATTTTTTGCAAGTTTTTCAATTGTCGCAGCATCATCTCTCAAATCTATTTGTGTTCCAACTAGTAGAAAAGGTGTTTTTTGACAATGATGTGTAATTTCAGGAACCCACTATATAAACAAAAAAAAATTAAATAAATTTAATTTTAATTTAAAACAAAATAATATAATTTTCAAATTAAAGAGAATTTTTTTTACCTTTTCTTTGACATTTTCAAACGACGAGGGAGAAACTACGGAAAAACAGACAAGAAACACGTCAGTCTGAGGATAACTTAACGGTCTCAGTCGATCGTAATCTTCCTGACCTGAAAGATTTTTAATTTGAATTAATATTTAAATTTATTTTAACTTTCAATTTCAAGTTTTCAACAATATTATCAATTTTAACTTTAATATTTAAAAAAAAAGAATAAAAAATACATCTTTTAAATATAAATTCTAAAAAATTGTATAAAACATTGGAAATTAAATAATTAAATAAATATAATAAATCTCTTACGCTAATTTTAATCATTAAAATTGATTAATCTAAAATTTATCGTCAATTATATTTTTTATATGATAAATTTGTAAATTAAAATTATTTACAATTTATTAAAATATCATAAATCTTACCAGCTGTGTCAAATAATCCAAGTGTGTATGGTTCTCCACCAATCATTACTGTGACGGCATAATTATCGAAAACAGTAGGAACATATTCAGATGGAAACTTGTTTGTAGTGTAGGATATCAAAAGGCATGTTTTACCAACAGCTCCATCTCCTACCACTACACACTTTATTGTCTGCATTTCTAATCGATCTACTTAACCTGCGTAACAAACAATATACCGTTTAATATTTCACTTTAAATTATAAACAAAAATTTCCATAAAGAATTTTAGAAAAATTTAAATTCACAAATAATCATTTATTTATATAATAAAAAAATAATCAAAAATAAATTATAATAAAAATACATCTTTTTTTTTAATTTAGCAAATAAAATAAAAATAAATAAAAAAATAATAGTTAAATTTTTCAATATGCTCGTTATTTAATGTCGAATATTTAATTTTTCTAAAACACTTTTCGATTAAAATTTATTAAATCAATAAATTAAAATGCAAATTTCACAAATTTCACATATTGATTTGAAAATCTGTATGAATCATTTTAATCATTTTCATCAATATGTAACGAGCGACTATATTCTCGCTCGAATCATTTCGAGGTATCGAATGAACGATACGATATGATTAAAGTTACGATTTAAATAACCTAAAATAAGTGTCATTATAAAACATTTTATAATACTCTTAACATTTTCTCATAATAAATAAAATAGAGTTTTCACATAAAGGAAATAGCATGACTAATTCTAAAGTATTTCTGTTGAACTTTTAAGTTTATTTCAATATCGTATTTCTTTTAGCAACATAAAAGATTAAAAGAGAAATGTCGTAAATCAGTACAAATAAATAAGAGAAAATATATTCACATATTTCCTCTTATTTCAATTCTAAAATGTAATCCTAGAACGTCATAAAAACCACTTGAAAAAATGTGATCCTTTCCATAAAAAAAAGGGACACTAAACACATGTTGACCAGACACGGACTTTTATTACCTTCAATAGAAAAGTCGCGTACGGGCTAAACAATAAACGAAAGTCTACAACGGAAATGCTTTGTATTAGAAAGCAATAAATAATTAAATAATTGTTTATGCACATGTTTTAGTATATTTACACATTTGTATGTAAGCGTTATTAATATTGTTAATTAATTAATAATTGACTATCAGAATATTATAATTTAATATTGTTATAATTATATTATAATAATATAATTATGGATTAACCATATAATGTTGTGATGATTAATGTTTATTATATTTTAATAAATAGTATGTTGTATGATGGGAGAGAATAAGTATAATCTCTCTTATGTATGTGTGAACGTATAAGTAACACTTAAGAACTATGTGATAAGTGTTAGTGAAGTGATACACGTATAGGAGTAGCGAATACGCTCCATAGTGAAGCATGCGCACAAACTCAAAATGGACCAAAAGCGGAGAGCGACTCCGCTGGACCAAAAACTCTCTAAGTTAGTTCTAATCTTGACTCTGACTTGAAAGGTTGTTTTCTAAACTCCTTAGTCAGCTTTGTAAATATTATATTAATAAATTTACAGGGTTTTACCTTCGAAGGAAGAACTAATAATTATTCTTCCTTGAACGGGTTTCCCTTCCGTTGTATCGGAAATTAATAATCTTTTATTTAAACCTTCCCGCTTCCTTCTTAAAGGATTTAACTAAAGAGAATCCGGCCAATCATATTACATTTTTAGAGTTGCGTAATAAAAGGTAACTCGGCTCGTAACATAAATTGGGGGCTCGTTACCGGCCTTTAGTGCGGGAATTTGAATAAGTGACAGTTTTATGACCTAAAACTACAAACATTATTTGAAAACAAAAAATTCAAAGTGACAGTTTTATAACATAAAATTATAAATTTTATTTGAATAAAAACTTTTATTCAAAGTGAATAATAAACTAAAAGTGGAAAAGAAAATATAATCTTTTGAGTTCCTGAAGTTCCTGAATAAATAAATGTTCCTGATTTCCTGGCGAGCAGTATAAGTTCCTGAATAAATAAATGTTCCTGATTTCCTGGCGAGCAGTATAAGTTCCTGAATAAATAAATGTTGCTGATTTCCTGAAGAGCAGTATAAGTTCCTGAGATCCTGTGTTCCTGAAAGCTGTAACCTGCTGTTCAACTGCTAATAGTGTTGTGTTGTGCGGTAGTGAATCCTCATAGAGGAATAAAGGGTCATTTCCGAAAATTTTATTGAAATCTTATTTAAATTCAGTGTAGTGAAATAGAATATCTACAAAAGGTTTGTTTAGATATTAGCTATATGAATGACTGCTAAATTGTAAAAGATTTTTCCTTGATGATTAATTTATTTCATTTAAGATTAAATTTAAATATTATTCTAATATTGAAATTTGCGAATGTTTTGAATAAATTAATTGGAATAATTAATTATTTTGAATAGTTTTGAAATTAATTATTGGAATTGTTTTGCTTTATTTTAATAAATTAAAATGTCTGAAAGTCAACAAGGAAATAATCTTCATCCCCATATGGAAGATATGGAGGAAGAATATGCGAATGATGAAATGAATGATGAATTACAATACGATGATATTGTAAATTATGAAAACCATTTGAATACCTATGATTACCAACAATCTCAAGGATTAATGAATCGCATTAATCCAAATGATCTTTTGCAAATAGCTGATATAGTAGGTCAGCATTTACAAAATAAAAGAAATTTAAATCCTTCGGAATCATCAACGTCAAAATCGCACCCTCCTTCTATTGCGGAAATAAATTCAGAAAGGTCGGGTCAATTTATTAATAATAATATTTCATCCTTGAAAAATTTTGTTGAATTGATACCAGAATTTGATGGAGAAAATATTCCGGTTCAAAAATTTATTCAAGAATGTTCGTATTTGGTAGAAAATACAAGTTCTCAAATGCAACCTTTTCTTTTAAAATTCGTATTAAAGAAAATTACGGGCAAGGCTGCAGAGTTTATTTTACACTCTCAAGTTGATACACTTGGAGAACTTTTAGTAGAACTAGAAAAATCATTTTCTTTTTCAGATGATTATGGAACGATTTTAGGTGAAATCACCAATTTGCAACAAGGTGATAACGAATCGGTAATCGACTACGCGGCAAAAGCACGTAAATTACTTTTTAAGCTGTCTCAGCTTTCGCGAAAAGATATTTCACATCAATATTTACAATTAAAATTAACTGAAAATGATAAACTAATAACAAAATATTTTACTCAAGGACTTCTTCCTAATATTGAATTTCGCGTTAACCTACGTCTTCCGATTAATCTTCAAGAAGCAATAACGATTGCATTAGAACAAGAAAAATATGTTTCCAATGTACGTAAACGTAGCGCTCCTTCAAACGAAATAGAAATAAATAATTCTAATCGCGAAGCAAAAAAATCGAAAACGGTTAATAAAATTGATAATAATCGTAAAAACAAATATTGTTTTACTTGCGGGAAAATTGGACATAATTCGCGGAATTGCCCAGATCGCGCGGAACCAGAATCATCCGACAATGATCAATCAGAAAACAATGATGAAGATGATAATAACGAGAAAAACGGTAACGGAAATTCATCGAAAAGTAACGATCCTAAACCGGAATGCGATTTTTGTAAACAGAGAGGTCACTCTACTGAAAATTGCTTTGTAAGAATATTAAAAAGTTTAGAATCAAGATCCGTATGCGCGATTTCAAATTCTCAAATTATATAAAACGAAAAATCAAAATTAAAGGTTACTCCGATGGCGTCATCGTTTGAGTAAATATAATCACGAAATAGAGTAAATTAAATTAATTTTTGTGCTGATTCGTTGTAGTGTGATCCTTGTGAAATGTGTGAGAAATTCTGCGAGGTATCACTAATTACATAACATTAAAATGACGATATTTATCCTAAACCTCTGAACAAGGTGAACTGTACACCTGTTCATCCACAAAATTCCTTGGACGATTTTGAAAGAGTTTACTTAATTGAGGCAGTTTTTCTAGACATTCACTGGGGTAACGGTGATAGCGAATCAGAAAAAATTAAACAAAGTCATTTGTAATGGACATTTCCAGACCACAAGCATGGAGATTATCGAGGATAATCAAATTACTTGCGATGTGAGATTGATAATCTGCGAAATCGTAAATTGCGATATGATTATTAATATGAGATCGTAAGGTGGACTGCAGCCACGAAATTGTAAATAGAACCGAATGGTTTGTGCACCAATTTCAACCATGCTGGATATTGAGATCCTTGTAGTGGTGAGATTCCATATGAAATTAACAAACAAATTATGATAATATTATTTTAACGAGGAAAATAATAGTTATCTTGAATTTGGAAATATTTCTTTCCATATTAAATTAACAAATAAATTATGATAATATTATTTTTGACGAGGAAAATAATAGTTATCTTGAATTTGGAAATATTTCTTTCCATATTAAATTAACAAATAAATTATGATAATATTATTTTTGACGAGGAAAATAATAGTTATCTTGAATTTGGAAATATTTCTTTCCATATTAAATTAACAAATAAATTATGATAATATTATTTTTGACGAGGAAAATAATAGTTATCTTGAATTTGGAAATATTTCTAACAATATTAAATTAACAAATAAATTATGATAATATTATTTTTGACGAGGAAAATAATAGTTATCTTGAATTTGGAAATATTTCTAAAACAAAGTAAAGATTTTTAAACAATACATAGTGTCAAATTATTGTTGAGTGTAATTAATGAATTGAAATATAATTTTTCATTCTCTTAGGGGGGAGAGTGATAGCTGATCAACTATACCTTGCTCAGAAAATTGTATAACTATTGTTTCATTAATTCTACTTTTCTTACAATAAAATTTTTTTGTAATTAATCAATAAATTTTGACAATCTGTACTATTCTTATTTTTCAATTTTCTAGCGAAAATTTCCGTAAGGGGGAAAGTGTAACGAGCGACTATATTCTCGCTCGAATCATTTCGAGGTATCGAATGAACGATACGATATGATTAAAGTTACGATTTAAATAACCTAAAATAAGTGTCATTATAAAACATTTTATAATACTCTTAACATTTTCTCATAATAAATAAAATAGAGTTTTCACATAAAGGAAATAGCATGACTAATTCTAAAGTATTTCTGTTGAACTTTTAAGTTTATTTCAATATCGTATTTCTTTTAGCAACATAAAAGATTAAAAGAGAAATGTCGTAAATCAGTACAAATAAATAAGAGAAAATATATTCACATATTTCCTCTTATTTCAATTCTAAAATGTAATCCTAGAACGTCATAAAAACCACTTGAAAAAATGTGATCCTTTCCATAAAAAAAAGGGACACTAAACACATGTTGACCAGACACGGACTTTTATTACCTTCAATAGAAAAGTCGCGTACGGGCTAAACAATAAACGAAAGTCTACAACGGAAATGCTTTGTATTAGAAAGCAATAAATAATTAAATAATTGTTTATGCACATGTTTTAGTATATTTACACATTTGTATGTAAGCGTTATTAATATTGTTAATTAATTAATAATTGACTATCAGAATATTATAATTTAATATTGTTATAATTATATTATAATAATATAATTATGGATTAACCATATAATGTTGTGATGATTAATGTTTATTATATTTTAATAAATAGTATGTTGTATGATGGGAGAGAATAAGTATAATCTCTCTTATGTATGTGTGAACGTATAAGTAACACTTAAGAACTATGTGATAAGTGTTAGTGAAGTGATACACGTATAGGAGTAGCGAATACGCTCCATAGTGAAGCATGCGCACAAACTCAAAATGGACCAAAAGCGGAGAGCGACTCCGCTGGACCAAAAACTCTCTAAGTTAGTTCTAATCTTGACTCTGACTTGAAAGGTTGTTTTCTAAACTCCTTAGTCAGCTTTGTAAATATTATATTAATAAATTTACAGGGTTTTACCTTCGAAGGAAGAACTAATAATTATTCTTCCTTGAACGGGTTTCCCTTCCGTTGTATCGGAAATTAATAATCTTTTATTTAAACCTTCCCGCTTCCTTCTTAAAGGATTTAACTAAAGAGAATCCGGCCAATCATATTACATTTTTAGAGTTGCGTAATAAAAGGTAACTCGGCTCGTAACAAATAGTAGCGTGTGACTTGAATATTGACAACTACCATATACAAAATAATTAATTCAATTGAAAATCAATAAACTCTCTCAAATGATAATTTACTACAATCTTTTTTTTTTTTTTCTTAAATATCCAAACCTAAAAAGTTAACAATATTTACAATAATAAAAGTAAAAAAATAAATCTAAAGGAAATATGACAAGTGAAAAAGTTGGCACATGTTGTATTAAATGAGCTTGACAACTATTAGAATTGTTATTGTTTTAACAAAATTATTAAAAATAAATAACAATGAGCTGATATTGTTATTTGTAATTTAACAAGATATTAAGAGACAATTGATATAACTATATAAATGCACACATATGCACATTGGAAAATTGTTTTCGGAGCAGCCATTTTGACTGATACGGCAAGTAGCTACGTTAATTTTACAATTTTTCGTTCACCATCATAAAACACTTTAATTGTAAAAATTGAATAATTACACTTGTCTATATTGAAAATGATTAAATTTCATTAAATAAAAAGCAATAACACTAAATTTATAAAACTCACAATTAACAGGGCGTCGACACAACACTTCACTGTCAAAAAACTGAAGTAAATAATATAGACAGGAAACTCACATTTTCAATTTTAAACGCGTACGTTGCGACATCTGTTCAAAAAAAAAAAAAAAGTTGAAATTTTGCGGGAATTTTAAAAAATAATTAGAAATAAAAATACGAGTCAATTATAATAATTGTATATAAATAATTTTATTTACATTAAAAATTGACTTTACAAAAAATGTATGAAAATTTAAAAATTAAATTTTAAGAAACAGCACATCTAAATCCAACATTTCCAGCAGATGTATCTGGTGTGTTTTGACTTCTTGCAGCACATCTGTATCGATAACAATAACTTTTATGACAAAGATAACTACCACCTTTTTTCACTTTATCCAATGCATTATCGGCTCCCGTCTTAAAAAACAAATAAAACAAATCATTTTTAATTTAATAATCATTTTCTTTATATAAAATATGAAAAATAATAATTATTATACCGGATTTTTGATATCATTCTTTGAATGATCAATTTGCCACCAATCTGACGTCCATTCCCAAACATTTCCGGCAATATTAAAAACACCATATTTATTTGGAGGAAAATTTGTAACAGGAGATGTTCCTATAAAACCATCTTCTCCAGTATTAATATCAGGAAATTCTCCTTGCCATATATTTGCTCTAAAAATAAAACAATTAAAAAAAAAAATTAATAATTAAAAATATCGTTTTGAAACTATTTAATAATTATTTATAATGAAATCTAAAGGGAATATATATATTTTATGAAAGATAATTTATTATAAAGTTCGATTGCATTTCATGTTATATACCTGTGCTCGTTATTAGGAGTTAGTTTATTTCCCCAAGGATAAAGACGATCTTTTAGACCACCTCGACATGTCACTTCCCATTCAGCTTCTGTTGGTAATCTCTTTCCAACCCATTTGCAATATGCTGATGCATCGTGCCAGGAAACGTGAACCACAGGATGATCTAATCTATCTACAAAATAAATCAAAATTATTTTAAAAAAAAAATAAAAATTAGTAATAAATATTACTAAATAAAATTAATTTAAAAAAATATATTTTTCACCTGATATATTAGAATCTTTGCCTTCAGGATGTAACCATGAAGCACCTTTCACAGGTAACCACCAAGGAGCCGCTTTAACAGCTTGATCAATTGTTGATTTCAGTTTTTCACTTAAAAGTCCCTCAAATACAAAAGAATCACCAAATTTTTCGGCCTCTGTTTTATGTCCTGTTGCTTTTATAAAATTTTTAAAATCCTTATTGCTCACTTCATATTTGTCAATATAAAAACTATCTAAAATAACTTCACGCTGTGGTCCTTCACCATCAGGTGCAAAAACCGGTTTATTTGTACCAATAAAATAAGAATCACCATTAATTCTCACCATATTCAAATATTTATCATTATCATTATTATTGTGTAAAAAATTATTTTTCACATCATTATTATTGACAAATTTATCATTATTTTTAGAACAATATTCATTATTTTTATTTGTATCATCGTTAATACATTTTTCTCTATTCAAATTTTTTCCACATGAACAATCATTATTTATCACAGAATTATCAGCAAGAACATAAGAAATCACGATAATATAAAGAATTTTTGTATTCAATAATTGAATCATTATTTTTTCAATAAAAATAGACTTTATTTGACAGCTTCCATTAAAAAATGTCAACAAAAACAATCTGCTTGTCACATGACAATTGATTTCCTATTTTTTCCAATAGAGTGCGCAATTTATTAAAAAAGAACGCGCATGTGCAACATTTGAGTCATTTCATTGGTTCATTTTGAAAATTATTTCTTTTAAAAAATATATATTTAAAAATTACGCGCCAAAAGTGTTTCACTATCAATATTTTCTTTAAATTTAATTTAAAAAATAAGTTTCAATAATATTTATTCATTCATGTAAATAAAAAAATATAATTAGAAAATCTGTTTTAAATCTGATAACTTGTAAGAATAAATAAGGATTGGTTGATAGGCCAGTTGATATATCAAAGACAAAAAACGCGGGCTTATTTAAATATTATCTTTTTTGTAATAAAATTAAAAATACAAAATTATTACTATATTTTAATATTTTATTAATAATTACAGTGAAACCCACGTATATTGGACCCGTATAATTAGGATTCCCGCTTACATCGGATTTTTTAATTTTATTTTAAATTATAATTTAAGGTTTATTAATAATTATTACTTTTTATTAATAATTATTAATTTTCATTAATAAGTATTAATTATTTATTATTTATTTATTTTTATTTATTTATATTTATTTAATGTTATTAATATTTTATTCCCTTTTAGTTGTAATTTGATAAGAAAAAACACTTTAAATGAAAATTTTTTCGATACAGCGCTTTCCCTGGTAAAATATAAAAAATTACCCACATAGAAATCTACCTTACCGACTGACGGTAAAACGTGTTTTTAAAAAATGAAAATATAAAAATTACCGACCTAGAAATCTACCTTACCGACTGATGGTAAACCAGTTTGAAAAATGAAAATATAGAAAAATACTGACATAGAAATCTACCTTATCAGCAGTCGGTAAGGTAGATTTCTGTGCCAGTAATTTTTATATTTTTCAGAAAAACTGTTTTACCATCAGTCGGTAAGGTAAATTTCTTTGTCGGTAATTTTTTATTTTTGAAAACTCTGTTTTACCATCGGTCGGTAAGGTAGATTTCTGTGTCGGTAATTTTTTATATTTTTATTTTTCAATAAAAAAACTGTTTTAGCATCAGTCGGTAAGGTAGATTTCTAGGTCTGTAATTTTTATATTTTCATTTTAAAAACCATGTTTTACCGTCAGTCGGTAAGGTAGATTTCTATATCTGTAATTTTTTATATTTCCTTTTTTTTTAAAAAAAATGTGTTTTGCTATCAGTTGGTAAGGTAGATTTCTAGGGCGGTAATTTTTTATTATTCTCTAGGTATATTTTCGTATTCAAAATTTTAGATACAACAATAGAATACTCTAACAATAATTTGTTATAGAGTTGAGAAAAATTTTATTGCTAAAAAAATTATTTTGAATTAAAAATAATTAAATTGCCTTTATTATTTATTGTTTATTACATATCTATTTCATAGCTTATATTAATTATTATTTACAAAATACTAACTTTATCATTCTAAAACATGTTTATTAATCTAATTGTTATTTTTATTATAAATTCTTTGTCTTCTATCACGATTATTATTTTAAAAATATTTTATTCCGATAAAGAAATAAAATTTCGATATAAATTATAAAAAAAATAAAAGATCTATTAGTAATAATCATTAGATATGTAAAAAAAATTGTTTTGCAATATTATTTCATTTGTTTGGAAATTAAAAATACCCTTGAATTGTACAATGTATATTAATTATAATTTAAAGAATAATTTATTTGAATAAAAGGGAATTTTCATTATAAATTGAAATGAATGAATAAGACCAATTGTTGAATATATTCTATTATTAAAAATTTCATTAGTGACAAAAAAATAAAGAATGAGCGCCTTTGTATGAACTTTGTATATAATCTTTATTTCATGTCATGGTTATATTTTTATTTAATGGTCTTTTAATAATTTCGAAAAATACAAAAAAAAATGTCCCGTACATGAAAATTTGCTACGATTAATGATTTTTACTATGTTTAGATCTATTTGCTAAATATATATGTATGAAAATATATTTTTGTCATTTTTTTTTCCTATTTTGTTTTAAATTTTCATGATACGTTTAAAACATTTTTTTTTTAATAACAATTTAATTTCAAGTAAATCATATTAACTATAATTTAAATAAAAAATATAATTATAGTTAATTATCAGTGACAATAATAAAATTGTATTATTTAATGAGTAATATGCTTACAATTAATTGATTTCAATCTAATTATTATTTAATTTTTATTTTTAATAAGCTGCAACTTGTATAACTTTCAAGTACAGAAAAAGCTCTCCAACAGGGAGTAATCAATATCACCGAATTCTTTTATTTTATTTTTTTATAAAATATATGCTAAAAGAAATATTTTATATTTTCCCCAAAAATATTTTATCTACAAAACTTCTTTTATTTTACTGACTTAATATTTTTCAAAATAACTATTCATTTTTAAAACTGATTTCATAGTTTCTTTTTTTTTTTTGATAGTTTTTTCTTTTTCTTTTTCTTTTTTTATATTTATTCGAGCATAGTTTTCAGCTAAAAATAAATAAATATATTTTCATATTCACATTTTTAGATTTAATTTCATTATTTTCTAAACGATGCAATAATGAAAGTAAATCGGCGAAAATTTGTTATTATTTTTAAATTCTAAAATTTTAGCAAATGTCAGTGATCACAGACAGGCTTATTAACAACAAAGAATACATTGAGTTCAACTATAGCCGCAAATACCAAAAATACACTGTACATTGAGAGGCAAATGTAGCCAACTCGTTTGTCTAACTTAAATTTATTATTGGCAATAGCGGCGTATAATAAAATTAATGTTGAGAATAATGATATTGAACTGTATACAAGACCTTCTGAATTAATTTGAACATAATGTTGGCCTGGGATCTTTGGTGAAAATATTGCCTTTATAAACCAAGGGAGACCAAGGCACAATAATACATCAAAAATATTCGAACCAATTGAATTACTTATCCCCATTGTTCCGTGGCCTATTTGAAAAAAAAAATGAATGGATTAAAATGGAAAATTAGTTCTTTTTATAATTTTAGTTTGGATCAATCAAAAATTTCGTTGATTCAAAAAAATTTATGATAAAAATTTTAATAATAAATAATTTTTTTTATTGAACCGATTTGCTTTCTATATGAAAAAAAAGAAAATTAGAAAAATCAATAAGTAAAAAAAAGAAATTAAAATATAAATAAAATTTTACATTTACTTAAAGAAAAAGTTGTTCTATTTTTAAATATTTCATTTTTTACAGTAAAGTATAAAATACAAAAAAATAAAATAATACATTTCATCTAGAAATTTAATTTAAAAAATGAATCGTGTCAAAATTAGGTTTAGATTTATGCAAATTTACCTTGATTCGTGACGATGACACTTGACACTGCTTCTGGAACGCTCATCCCAGCAGCGAGGAAAGTTAATCCCATTACAGAGTCAGGAATCTTGAGAGTATCACCTGAAATAGATTTCCATTAAGTAAAAAAGAGTTTTGCAAAAAAAAAAAAAAAAGAAAAAAAGAAATAGTAAATAATAAAAAAAATAACAATTATAAAAAATAAGTTTAATTAAAATTTGTTTTACCGATAATTGTGATATCCCATGCAACCATATATGACATAGATGCAATCCAAACGATGCACATTGTAAATGTCAGTGGATACCAATTTCTCAATGATTGCCTACGGCAATCTGGAATTGTCACCAAAAGTAATAAATTAATTGGCCAAGTGAAAACCCACCAAATTCTCTCCATTTTTGGATCTGGCCAATTTGTCATATTTACTATATCAACTGAAACAATTAATTTGAATAATTTTTATATAATAAGATTCTCGAATAAAAATAACGTTATTATTTTTTTTTTAAAACAATTGTACCCAGTGTGCTTTTTATGAGTCGCGAGTTAATTGCAAGCAAGCTTTGTGTATTTGTATTCGCGACATAAAGTTTTCTCTTTTGTGTTGCCGCCTTCAGCGTGAAATCATTGTTTTGTTACAATTACATATATATATATATACACGAGAAAAAAAAATATCTACAGTGGAAAAAAATACAAGTTACTCTGAATTTCATTTATTATGTTAAATGCAACGCATTTATAAGTAGAAAAAAAAATATTTCGCGAAAAAAGGTAAACATAAAAAGAGAATTAAATTAAAAATAAAAAAAAGTGAAGGGATAATAAAAAAAAAGAAGCTTTTAAAATTCATGAATACTTACGAGAGTCATCACTGCTAAAGTCGTTACTATTGCTCATATCTAATACTTCCGCACAGTCTGAAATTACACCTAATTAATTAATAAATTTTAATTTATGAAAATAAATTAATAAATTATGATTAAATTTAATTTATTTAGAATATATATAAAATATAGTTAATTATTAATTAAATATTGGTAATTAGATAAAAGAATTGTTAATAGTGTAAAGAAATAAATTTCTAATTGAAATATTATTACAAATGTAAAATAAAATTAAATTATTTAATAAGAACAATTAATTAAATAACGAGATTTATTAATATTATGAAGACGTGAAATTTATTAATTAAAATTTTGCTCCGCTTTTCAATCTTAGCAATCAATGTTGTTAGAGAGCTGCTGTGAGGTGAGAATCGACTAAAACTTGACCTGTTTTTAATCACCTGTACGATGCCAAGTGGCATGATAAACCAGTCATAAGAATATAAATTAACAAAAAAAAAATAAGAAACAAATTGAGAAAATATTTTCAAAATAATTTTTCACGATTTTGTTTTATTCGAATAAAATTACCAATTTATTAATTAATAATTAATCATCAATTATTATTAACAAAATTTTACTTTACTTTTTTTAATGTCAAATTAAATATTTAAAAAAATGTTTCTTACTATTAGAGAAAGCAGTGTCCTTTCCATTTGCATAAATTGGATGAATCGTTTGGCTTGCCATAAAGGAATCTGTTATTTTATTATTTGTAATTAAAGGTGTCTCCTCATTCAAATTTTTGTATTTCCTTCTCTTCGATACTTTTAGATGCATAAATTTGTTGATACGTTTATTAAAACACATCGCTGCAATAAAAATAATTAAAATATTAAAAAACATTTTCTTTTTTATAAAAAAAAAAAAACAAAAATGCTTGAAAAATATTGTTATTTTATAGAAAAATAGAATACAAAAATTTTTCTTGCAGTTTTTAACCTGCAATTCAAAAAAAAAAAATTACATACCCAAAATGTACAAAATATAGGAAATAACGAGAATTAATGCTTCGTACCACTCGATACGACCGTCATGTAGTGTTATAATTAACAAGATGACTGTGAACCCATATGCCAAAGAATCACGGCTTACGGGCCACCAATCCAGATCTAAAACCTAAAAAATTTCATTTCCATTAAAATTTAAATAATTTATTTATAAATTTAATAATTTTTTAATTCATTAATCCAAAAAAAAATCTCGAAATTAAAAATTTAAATTTTAATTATAAAAAAATGATTCTTTAAATGAAATAATAATTTTTGAAAAAAGAATTTTTATGAAAACAAAAAAAATATAATATATTAATCTTGCCTGCGTAGCAAATAATCCACAGCAAGCAGGTACTGCAAGAATATTGAAGACTGCAGAACCAACGATAGTACCAATTCCCAGATCTCCTTCGGTGATAAATGTTCCCACCACATTTATGAATAATTCTGGACTGGATGTTGCAGCTGCCATAAATGTAGCACCAGCAACATCTTTTGTAATATTAATATCTAAAAAAAAAAAAAAATTATTATCAAATTAAAAAAAAAATTATTATCAATTATTATCAAATATCTATTTATTAGCAATTATATACACTGAAAAAAGTGTTTGGTATTGACAACCAAACGTTTGGTTGGTATTTAAGAATCTAAATTTTTTTTGTTGAATCAACAAAATTTTGGTTGTCCCAATCAAACTTTAGTTAGGACAACAAAAATCTTTTATTTCTAATTTTGGTTGTGTGTCAAAAAAAATTTGATTGAGACAATTAAAATTTTGTTGATTCAACAAAAAATTTTTGGTTACTTAAATACCAACCAAACGTTTGGTTGTTAATACCAAACTCTTTTTTCAGTGTAACTTTTTCTATACTCACTTTCACAGATCCTTTTTATAGATGGTACAAAAAAATCGTCACATACAATAGCGAGAAGTAAAAACATATAAATAGCAAGGATAAAATGAAACGCTAAATAACCCGATGCTCTTTGTGATCTTGTCAATCCATCAGATGGAAATTCTTTGATGGCTGGTGGTGTACAATTTTGACTTTCCTCTAATGTCACGTTTTCCTCCAGTTGTAACAATTTTCTTGATCCTATTGTCAAAATAAAAACAAAAAATAATTATATTTCCAAAAAGAGTCAATAAATAAAAATAATTTATTTGATATTCAAATCATATTATCAAATTCTTAATTAATATTATCAAATAATTGATATAACTATTTTAATATAAATAATTATTATATCAGAATTATTTAAATAAAAAAAAAGTTTTATCATTTTTAATTGTATTTAACTTCCTATTTATATAATAATTAAAAAACAAAATTGCTTTTTCCTGAAAGTAATTCAGGGGAATTATTTTCTGCGAGAAATATAATATTGTATTAAAGCTTTATCAATAATGTAATCAAATCAATTTCAAGATTAGATGATTTTGTATATCTCTAATTTCAAGAAAATGTCAAAAATATAAAGATATTCATTGATAAACATCCTTGTAATTGAAATTTAACTGCGTAGTTAAATTATAATTTAATTTTATCATTATATAGAGACAAATATAATTTATTTTCGAAAATCATTTCGCAATAACAAATTTCAAATTTAATGATATTTATCTATGCAGTCATTTTTTTTTCTTCTTTTTTTAGAATCAAAAAAAAAAGCAAAAATTGTCACATCTCTCTGAAAGTCAGCTAATTTATCATAAATTATTTCTCACTAGACAAGAGCTCCAAAATGTTTTTGACACATATCCTTGTTTGTAAAGTCTTTAGTCTGTCGTCTTGTGACTTTGTTATCATTATTCACAATCATTGACGTCAATTATCTACCCTCATACTTGCAAATCTTTCATATCTTTTTTTTTCAAAGTCTACCTTTTTAATAACAGGATTTGGAATTTTTTTTACATATATATCTTTTTCTATAAAATTTGTTTAAAAAGAAATTTTTTTTTTCCTAAACGATAAAAATATCAACAATAACAATTATTTATTCAAATTATCAATATTATTATTTATTCCCTTGGGTAATAATATCCTTATTTTCTATTCATGTAATTTTTATTTTATTTTACTTTTATTATTATTTTTAATAAAGAATACAATTTCTTTCTACGTTAAATTTAATTAAACAAAAATCATGTAATTGTAAGAGATAGGAGAATTCGAAAGGAATTTTTTTTTTCAGATTTCCAATAAAAACATTTACTTTACAATGATTGTAAAAATAAACCTGTTAAACAAACAATGAGTCATACGTTCTACTTTTTTTTTTTTTTTTTTTATTTGATGTCAATAATTATTAATTCTTTTGTTTTTCAAAATGCAATAATTACACAATTTGAATAATTTCTTCGAATTAATATAAGTTTCAATGAAATCATTATTAGAAACAAATTTGAACAAAAGCAAATAATTATTTAATTACTATTTTTTTTACTATTTTAATTTGCAAATTTTTTGATATTAAAGGAATATTTTCATTTTTTAATATAATTTAAAGAGTAAAATTCAATTAAACTAAACTATAATATTCATTAATTTAAATTGACGCTTTGAACGTTAAGAAATTGAAAATATTTTATTAAATTTCTATTAACTTCATTAACTTAAAATTCATTTTTAATAATCACAATTTTCATAAGAAAATATGAATATATTATTAAAAATTTTAATAGTTTAAAATTTTCCCAAAAAAAAAAATATTTTATTCTCAAAATTAAATTTTACTCACCGACATTGTGAAAATTGGTGATGTCATATTCGTTTTCAACTTTGGAGAAAAGTCCTGAAACGCTAACGCAAAGATAATACATGGTTGGTATGGCGAGCACAATAAATAACCGAAATCCAACCATGCGTCTGTGTCTTCTATTTCTGGCATGATTATTTTGTTTTTCTAGGTTTCCAGGCCCAGAGATTTGCAAAAGCTTTCCAGTTTCCAGTTTGGAAACAATTTTCGTGAACATATATATATTTTTATAAAATATAAAAAAAAAGAGAGAAAAAGAATGAGGGAAACGTCAGTTAAAGTTTAATAGCCGACGTTTACCTTGCTACTGGTAGAAATTTGAGCGATATACAAACGGGTATACTTTTGATTACACTTATTATCTTCAAGATGGCGATAAGGATAAGATATATGTACCTTATACTGGGGAAAAAAAAAACAATCCAAACAAACTCTCCCTCAAAAAGAAGGAAAATTTTTCTGCTATAGTATATATATATCGACATTGACCGACGGAATCTTTCTATTTAGATCCAAAACAATTCTTCTTCTATATTTTGTTTTCATTTATTTTTATATTTTTACTAAATACTCTTCTTTATCTGAAATGTAAATAAAATTATTTTTTAGTATAAAATATTTATTTATTAATTTAAAAAAATAAAAATAACTAATTAATTATAAATTATTTAATTTTATTATATTTTATTTTATTTATAAAAAAGAATTTTTATATTTTAAATATATTTGTAATTTTTTTGTGAAAAAATTAAATTAAAAAATCGATAATTTAATTTTTCAAAATTTTTTAAAAAATATTTATTAATTGAATTTGTTAGAAAGTCGAACCCTAATTGAATATTTAAAAAATATATTTATCTTGGGACTCACCTAAATTGAGATAAAATCAAAATTGATTATTGTTAGAGATCAACCTTCCCTATTTCGTAATTGTGACAACATTTTTTGTAGATACAAATCGTCTCATGATTTTTATTATTTAATTTTATCTATACACTGTCAATAATTAATAATAATTTCTTCTTGTTTTCACTGCAAATTTTTTTCACTCACAATTTTTCGTTATTTCACTTATTCACTGAATTTTTATTTTTCACTTACACTTATTTTTAATTTTATTTTAGAAAATTATCTAAATTAGATATTCCAATAATTAAATTGATAATTTTTTTTGAAAGAAAAATAAATTTAAAAACAAAAATTTATTAAATTTTCATTGAAAAATCAAACAATCAGTTGGAACAAAAATTATAGTCTAAATCAATTTTCAGGTTTTTAAATTTAAAAAAAATTATGTTTTAACACGCAGAGAAATGATTTATTTGAACCAAATAAAATATATTTGAGTTAAATAAACGTATATTTGTCTCAGAGCCTACTAACTTATTTATTTGGCGTAAATAAAAGTTTTATTTGTCACAAATAAATTTTTCTTTGCCTCAAATAAATTTTTTATTTCAATGAAATAAAATATATTTGCAACAAATAAATGAGTTAGTAGGCTCGGAGACAAATATACCATTTCTCTGAGTGAAGGTGTGTTTAATTTTTTTTATACATATTTTGAACCATAAAAAAAGTTTCATTTGCATAAAAAATTACAATTTTCTAACAATAGGAAACAAATATTGTATTTGATAATTATTTCTTACTATCAGATTCTATCTTTATTCGAATGCAATTTTTTTTAAATTCAAAATATTGAAAATTAAATTGATCAAACTTTTATTGGGAAATTTTGTTTTTTTAGTTATTTTATATTAAAAATACAATTTTTTTTAATCGCGCCAGAAAAATTTCATCGCTAATTTCAAAATTAAGAGAAAATTTTTTTTTTTTGCGTTTATTTGAATCAAATAGAAATATATTTATCTCAAAGCCCAATAATTTTTTTGTTTTAAATAAAAACATTTATTTAGCACAAATAAGATTTTATTTAGCGAAAATAAAATTTTTATTTAACTCTAATAAAATTAATTTGGCTCTGGAAACAAATATAATATATTTTCTCAAGTTGTATATAACAAATTACACACTCAGAGAAATGGTATATTTGTCTCCGAGCCTACTAACTCATTTTTTTGTTGTAAATATATTTTATTTCATTTAAATAAAAAATTTATTTGAGCCAAAGAAAAATTTATTTATGACAAATAAAATTTTTATTTACGCCAAATAAATAAGTTAGTAGGCTCTGAGACAAATATTCGTTTATTTAATTCAAATAAATCATTTCTCTGGGTGCAATTTGCTTAACTTTTTATTTAAAATTTACAAGTGAAAATTCTTGTCAAATGAAAATTAGTTTAAATAAAAATTCAATTAATTACAAATTTTATTAATTTAAATTCGCGATTGAATAAATATTTCCGCTAAATAGATATTCGCACCCAGAGAAATGTTTTATTTGAACCAAATATAATATATTTAAATTAAATAAACGTATATTTGTCCCAGAGCCACTAACCTATTTATTTGACGTGAATAAAAATTTTATTTATCATAAATAAAATTTTTATTTAAATCAAATAAAAATTTATTTGCAAAAAATAAATATTTATTTGCAAAAAATAAATATTTATTTAAAATAAATAAAAATTTATTTGGCTCTGAGTATTTTTTCTCTTTGTGTTCTGTTTTGATATAAAAATTCAGTGGCAAAATCTGCTTAAAAAAAAAATTCAATTTGTAGAAATTCTATTAAACAAAAATTATGAAACAAAATTATGATTAAACAAAAATTCTGCTTTATAAAAAAGGGTCAAAATAGAAATTTGATTCTATTTTACGAAAATTCGAACTAACCGCGTTTGGAAGGATTATTCTCAAGAGGTTTTCTCCTTAATTTCAAATTTAGAAAAAAAAATCCCAATACTTCTTTTCTCTTCATGAAAGTGAAAATATCTATCAAAAAATAAGAAACAATATATATATAAAATAAAGAAAAGTGTATGGAAAAATCAGAAGCATATCAAAGCATTTTCGCATACGAATTGTGAATCTCGGACGAATGAGAAGGAGGGGCATCATGCTATTTAACAAAACGATGTCAGACTTCGGAGTAGTTGTTAATGTAGTATGTGTGTGACAACGGGATTGACAGGATGGATACGTCTGACCTAGGAGGAGGTTGGTTTCAATATTTTCAATAATATTACGTAACCATATGTGTGTCGTGTCGGTTGCGTGGCTATTAAGCTAATCCCCAGCAAATCCTAATCAACCGTTGGTTATACACCCCGGGTGAACACCATAATGATGATGCCTCCATATATGCTTTGATGAAAAAGAGCTCAACAACTTTTAACCCTCCCAAGGTGAAAAAATTCATCTCCTCCACCACACATGAATCGTCACTCAAGTGTTTTCAATTTTTTTTTTTTTTTTTATTCCCCCAAAAAAATGACGATTTTGGTGTTAAAGTGCTCACTATTCATGTGTTTCGAGATTTGATTTTGTGATTTGACAATTATTTATAAGGGTTGGGGGGGTGGGTGGGTGTGAAGAAAACAATATCCAAGGAGTTATGTTCACTATTTGGTAGGTCAAGTGGTTTTTATCTCAATTATTGTCAAGGACACTTTGAATTTTCAGAGTTTGTTCGATCTTCACATTCACAACCCCCTTCAAACCGACAAAAATTGGGTCAAACTATTATTCCAGAGTTGAATTTCTCATTTGGCATAGGCCTTTAATAATTCCTTCATTAGGTATAGAAAATAGAAGAAACTATTTTCTCTTTTCTTCAATGTCCCTCTATACGATGTTTGATAGATTCAGTAGAAAATTTATAATTTCAGTAAATAACATTTTTCGAATACAACAAATACAAAAGAAATGAGAAAAAAAAATTGATTTTAATTCTCTACACTGTAAAACAAGAGGTATTAATTTAATAATAACTTTAGATACTAAATTGCATTTTGGTTCTATTTTAATACCTAAAATCGGTACTATCACAGAAAATTAAAAGGCATTAAAATAAGCTGCAACGCTTCTTATTTTAATCCAATTTTGATATTAAAATAAGCAAAATTGGATTAAAATAAGAAGCGTTGCAGCTTATTTTAATGCCTTTTAATTTTCTGTGATTTTAGTATCTTCTTTTTACAATGTACTTCTGTATTATTTCTTTTTGTTTTCCACATTTCTTCATCTAAAATTATAATAGAAGAATTTTATCCCTATATGATCATCTTGTAATTTCTAATGTGTCGAAGAACAAAAAGATACTTTTATATAGCCACGCGTGTGTGTGTCTTTCCCTTAGACTTTAATAATGTCTTCAATCGAAGAAGCAGTTCTTAACGTGATGATTTAATAACAACTTCCGATAAACGGCATTTAGCGATGTTGAACCGTAAGTGACGTGTCCTTGGAAAAGAGTGGAGTTCATCGACTGCATTGGATTTGTCATTTTACATCATCAGACACCGAATTGAAAATCCGAAGTATATTTTTGCTTGCTTTTCATGCAAAAGTGACGTTTCGTTTTATCAGCTCTTTTTTTTTTTATTCATAATTATCACATCTGATAAAATGATTAGTCATAAATATTATTCATTAAGAAAATCTTTTTTTTTTTCTCTAAAAACGTTATGTACTCTCTAAATCTGTATTAGTAAAAATGTTTACTAATTTAAATTAGTGACTCACTTTTTGCTTTAGAATTTGTTAAATTTTACTAATTTTTAGTAAAATTTTACTAATTGAGAAGCAAAAAGTGAGTCACTAATTTAAATTAGTAAACATTTTTACTAATTCAGATTTAGAGAGTATAGTTATTATTATCAAGAAACAGAATCTTTTCTTTAAATTAAAGAAATATTTTTTTAATTCAAAAAGAATTCTTCAAATTCGGTGATACACTGTAAAAAGAAAGTACTAAAACAGTACCGAAAAGAATTAAAACAGAACCGATTTTACCAAATGAAAATTTAGTACCCGAAGTCGGTATTAAATTAATACTTTTCTTTTTACAGTGTAGGAATAAATTTTGATTTTTAAAAATTTTATTTTTTAAATTAATTTTCCTATGGAAAATTTAACTATAGTACACTGTAAAAAAAAGGAGTTGAATTTCAACTCCCCAGGGGATGCTATAAAAGTCCCACCCTTTTTGAGTTGAAGCGAAGGCTTTTCGAGTTAATTTTATGCCTATAGGGAGTTGGTTTTAAGGAGTTAATTTAATTATTAACTCCCTTTTTGAGTTGATTTTTAACTCGAAAAATTTAACTCCCAACTCCCAGTAACGTTAACTCCCTAATTTTTTTACAGTATAGTATAATTTATTTAAGAAAAGAAATCCTTGTGTCTTACACCTGTTGCGATTAAAAAAAAAATTTAATTGCGTATATATAAAATTGTTTATAAAAAAAAATGAAAATTACATTGCTAATTGTATTGAATCGTGTTTAAAATCTGTTGATGTTTATTAAAAACAGCTTTATGAT